ATAGCCTTTTACTTGCCTAACTTTATTTCAGAGTAATAAACAACATTTATAAAATCTGTCTTCTCTATGGCTAAGCCTTTTTTTCAACTTCAAAATAGCTTCAGCTCCTGCAACTTCTTCCTCTATGGCCTCCCTGCATCTCATTTCACCCCATTCCAGTGACAAAATGCTGCTAAAGCCTTCCTCTTCCCTTCTCTGGCTTCCTCTCACCTTCCATGTCAAATACAATATTCTTGGGACTCAATATAACTCCCTTCATTTCTGTCCTCAGTTCCTCTTAATCTTCCTCCCAATACCTACTGGATGTTCCTCCCAAGCCTCCACCTTACTGACATCTTTGTATCTTTTTCTCACTCTCATCTTTATATCTTCTTCCCTGCAAACCCTTATGCTTGAACCACCCTCTGCTAACTCCAAATGACCTCCTTCCTCAACACACATTTCTTTCACTAGGTCTTTTGGTGATGATCCTCTGCATCATTTTGAGACTGACCTTCCAACTTATGTATCATATTTCTGAAATGTCATGTCTCATTTCAATGTTAAGCTCTTTGTGATAGTTATATTGTAGCTTTTATGTTTGTACAAGGATAAGCAAACTGCCAATGCTCAATAAATAACAGCAGCATAATGTATTTATTACAAGGAACACTTGCAAATTTGTTATAGATTTAGATAAACTTTTTAATATGTAGTGCCAGAGGTATTTAGGAAGATAAAATATTCAACCCTGACAGATCATATCTTAAAGAGGGTCTGTGAAATGACATGATAAGGGTGATGATTAACACTCACCACAAAGGAAAATGTTGAGTTGCTGTAGGAGGCATATAAATTGTCCCACTCTCTTTCTGACTCAGGTAAGCTGCCAAAAAGTGGAGGTGGATACTGTGGGATGGAACTGTTTTGACTCCAGCCAATTGCTCGTGTTTTTTTGTTTGTTTGTTTGTTTTTTTTAAAGGAGAAGACAGTTAAATTGTTAATCAGATTTTTTATTATTAAAGATCCAAACCTAACACTTGGCTTTAGCCCTCAGTGCACACTGAGTTAAAGGACACTGTCTACTGTAGCTTTCCGGCAGCACACATCTGCCCCTCAGCACCCCCACCCCCAAATGATACATATGGTTCCACAATCACATCTTCCTATTTTTTTCCCTCACAAGCTGCTGTATGGAAACCAGGGAAACTGACTAGCTAAGGTCCCAGTCCCGCAATTACCTCCATAGAGGCAGACCTTGCACCCTCACGGAGTTCTTTACAGGATCTGAGCCTAAATGACTGAAGAGGGGAAACACTAACAATGACTACAAAACATGCTGCCTAATGTACAAAAAAAGCAAACCAGGGACGGGGGCAAGAGAAACATACTTCCCCCCTCTTACTTATTTCAGTCCCAGTACTCTTCGGTGTTACTTGTAACAATAGTAGCTCAAATAAATTTGTTAGTCTCTAAGGTGCCACAAGTACTCCTGTTCTTTTTGCGGATACAGACTAACACGGCTGCTACTCTGAAAATAGCAGCTAAAAGTGTTCAAACAGCAGTGTGATTTTTGTTAAGTTGACGGTATCCTGTTCATCTAAAGGGTTAAAGAATTCAACCCAAAAGAAACCAGTGACAAAAGAAAACAATCAGAAGTTGCGAGACAATGCTAATAGTCATGGGTGTGGCGGGTCCAGAGTAGTCCTCTGGCACTTTTGAGGGATGCAGGATAGTCCCTTTTCTTCCCTACAGCATTCCCTACTGTAGGCTCAAAATACTACTTTCAGAAGTCCACGACTGAATCTTCCAGAACGTTCAGTCTAGTCGGTGTTCTCTATTCCTCCCTCTACCTGATACTTACCTGTACGAGAGTTTCTGACAGCGCAGGGAGCAGAGTACTTGAGAATATGACAAAGTGTGGATCAGGAGATGCAATAGGACTGGATTAGCAATGTGAGTCAGCACCCATGCAAAAGCTGGGAAATGGAAGATCTGGAGTGGATTAATGTGGGTGTGTAAACCAGGGGAAAGGGTGGAGTGGGGTGAGGAAGGACAAGAAAGCAAGAGATGAACAGAGTGGCAAATTGTGACATGGAATTAGGGAGCAAAGAGGGAAAAACTGTGGCATGTGAAGTGGGATGAATGAGGGCAGAGAGCAAAGGGGAATGTAAAAGAGAGGGATAGATAGAGGGAGAAAAGAAGGAAGTGGGAGGACACAGTAAGGGGGCTAGAGAACGAGGGAGCAGGCACAAGAGGGCAAATGTGAAGAGAAGGGGGAGTTTGTGGTAACAGACCTACAATCAGGGCCGGCTCTAACTTTTTTGCTGCCCACCCCCGAGCCCCCCCGCCGAGCGCCGC